AAGACCCTAACCCTAAAGTTAATCGAAAAAATTATTAAATATGAGTTGCCTCCGCTTTAGACGTCCCCCATATTTGGCAAAATCCCTGACTGTATTACTAGGTTCTACACTAGATGTCGTACCTATAACTTATCTATTATTTGGGTTACCCAATTAAAATGTTCATAATCCCCAAAAACTTTATGCTAACTAAAATTTAGACCTTTATATCTAACCCTAATATGATTTTACCTCCGGTTAAATGTAGATAAATTCTTATTAAGCGTTTTAAATTTTTTGTAATATTCTTTACTATTCTGTTAGATATTTATCTATTATTGATTTAATATTACAATATCTTGTCATTAATATTATCCGAGAAAACTTTTAAATAATTGCATTGTCTAAAATAAAACAGTTTTTAGTTATACGCACAATAAATTTTGTAATCAATTTTTAGTTACAGTCTTGATATATTCTGTTACTAATATATTTTATAAATTCGAAGATAAAAATATTGTTAATTTTGGCGTATATAACGTCGATCTTCTTATATGAGTTTCTTGCTGGATGAGTTTGCGTACGTACGTACATATTATTTTTTGCTCTAAACTGATGATCTTTCCACATCTACTATATACAGTACTAACAGTACTAACTGAGAATGGGAGTATATACTACAAAATTTTGTGTAACTTAGAAAATCATCTCCAAACTTTTTAAGGCGTTGGACAATTAGTCGCAAGGTATAGATGCGCCTACGTAGGGCAAAAGCATAATGTATTGCAGTATTATAAAAGTTTAAGGCTATTAGTACGTAATTATTATGGTTTAATGTGAAATGTTTGACATTAGCCAAAAAAATCATAAGGTCATTTATAGTTCATTCGAAAGCATTATGCAAACAATCTTGCATACCGAATTAGTTTTCCAAACTAGTTAACTAGTTGAATGCGTCTCTGGCACTTTAACGATCCTATAATTTTGACATATAGCACTGACAAATATTTAAATTATAATATTTTAAATCATCTCGACTTTTGGTAAACAAATTTTATCGAATTGAATTGCTACCGAAATATTTTCAGTTTCGATAAAACTGATCACTTTTAAAGGCAACATTAGGCATTACTTCCTTTCGCTTTGTATCTCTCGATTAATTATACTTAATTCAATATGTGTGAACGTTAACATGAATCATTAGATCTAAACCACGATGGTATTAAAATTTTCTTTTAAAATTCTTTGTTATAGTAAAATAATTACATAATTTAAATATTACGTAATAAAGTCGGATAAGTAGATTAGTCATATGACATAATTCGGTTTGGCTCTAAAGATGCAAAATCGGCTGATCGGCTCTATTGATTAATCGGTTTTTATTATACTGAATACTGGAATATACAAAGCCGATCAGCCGATTTTGCATCTCTATTTGGCTCTAAATCTAGATAATGCATAACCGAAAAGTACCTTGAGTAACACATTAACCCCGCTTGAAGAACATCTCATTATATTGCATGCAGTTACCTTACAAATATTGATTTATTGATTTTTCTTTACATTTTTCGAATTATACATGTCAGGTATTTTATTTTTCAAGATCACATTCCCATTAGTTGTTTGAAAGATTATAATTTATTCTCAAATTTAATAATTAATAGTTCTCGCAATTGAACGAGCTGTTGCAATCAATGCAGTCTTAAGGGCTAGCAAAGTTTGTCAAAAAGTTTTTCAAAGCCTTGTGACGAGTGATACGGTTATTAAGAAAGATAAATCCCCTGTAACAAGTATTTAGAGAAAATTTTATCATTAATGTTTATATCAAGAATATATATTCTTTCTGCATTAATTAATTTTTTTACATTTAAAAAGTTGCCGATTTTAGTGCACAAGCAGTGGTAAACGCACTATTATATGAATCTTTTCCAAATGATCCAATTGTTGGCGAAGAAGACTCAGGAAGCTTACGAGGTGATAGTGGAAAAGAATTGAGAGAAAAAGTTTTATCATTGGTTAATAATGTGCTAGATACTCCTTTGGGTGATAAAGAGGTTAGATATAATGATATTTTTATTTTTATTTTGTTTAGATAAATATAATTATTTACATTCTAATTTAATTAATTTTATTTTGAATAACAGTTATTGGATGCTATTGATAGAGGAACTTATCCCGGTGGCTCGCGTGGAAGTTAGTAATATTATCAATCTAAGAGATTGTTTTCATTGTGTTTTGTGCTGCATTATTAAAATAACTTGTGTATTAGGAATGTGGACTATTGATCCGATAGATGGAACAATGGGATTTCTTCGCGGAGAGCAATTTTGTGTTGGATTAGCATTGCTTATTGATGGAGATGTTCATCTTAGTGTCTTAGGATGTCCAAATTTACCAGTAGATCTTAAAGCGCCCGAAGGTGAAAGAGGATGTTTGTTCGTTGCCGTTAAAGGACAAGGCGCTTTTCAGGTAAAAAAAAAGATCTGCACAAATTATTTTCAGCGTTACAAATTTATATTTTTGAATTTAATACCTGTTTATGATTTGAAATAATTAAATAATAGCGCAAGTTCTCTTCAACTGAGGAAAAACAAATTCATATGGCAGACATTTCATCACCATCAGCTGCCACATTTTGTGAATCTTTTGTGCCAGCTCATTCTTCACATGGAGAAGCGGCAGAAATTGCATCATTACTCGGAATCACAAAGTCTCCTCTCCGTATGGATAGTATGTGTAAATATTGCGTTGTTTCAAAAGGCGATGCTGATATTTATCTAAGATTGCCTGTTCGTATAGATTATGAGGAGAATATCTGGGTACATATAATTAGGAATTTTATACCTTTTTTTTTCTTTATTGTACTATTAATAATGAGTTTATTTTTTTAAATCAGGATCATGCACCTGGATATCTTGTTGTTAAGGAAGCAGGGGGTATAGTTTCAGATATTCATAATAAACCTCTGGATTTCTCTTTGGGAAGAACTTTGAAAGCTAACAAAGGAATTGTTGTTACGCATCCTAAAATACATGGACAAGTAATTGACGCCGTTCAGAAAGTTGTTTTAAAAAAATAGACAATATTCACCCGAATTATCTTACCCTAAATATAACATTCATATGTTAATTATAATAATTCGGAGAATGTTTGAATATTCCCCAATAAAGAAAAAAACTCTTAATGAGTTTTCAATAAT